AATCTCGGCGCGGTTACACCATAATTATCACGTCATGATGAGCAAGACAACGAAAACCTTTTTTCTGTTTTGGTTAAACAAACCCGCAGGCTATAACACATCGTTGACCAACATTTAGCACCTTGTAGCTGCGGCATCTTATTAAGTACGAATGGGTACCAGTAAAACATTTGGAAATTGGAGTTTTTGTTTTTTTTTGTGTCATATTGTTGCCCAAAACGACCAGCATCAAGAAAAATTGTGCAGAAGAAAATCATTTAGTTCTTTTTGCTTTCGCCATTAACCAGTTCGTATATATTATATAGGCTATACTTCTCGTTTAAATAAAGGCAGTTGCTGTACATAATCACCGTTTGGAACATACACGGATCCATGCCATGTCCCTCTTGCATAATTAAATTATGGAAATTTTGTCGCCGCGTTTGGTGTTGGTGAGAATCACCTCAATTTGCACTCATTTATGGCAGGCATGAATTTAAATTTGATTAAATATTAGGTCAGATATTCATACATATATCTGTTGTTAATATACATTTAAATCAGATCATTCGGTTAAATCAAAATTTTTAATGGTGTCGAAATTCGAAGAATAAATCGTAACGGCACTATAATGTTATGGAATTACTTTTTAAAAAAAGTCGTAGCAACATAAAAATGTAAAACAAGTAATAGGATGCAAAGTGATCGTTCCATCGTTTTAAAATGAACCACTTTTTTGCGTAAATTATGGTCACCTCGAAATACTATCTGCAACTTTATTGTCCCTACTAATAAATAACACCATCTGCACCTAATGCGGGAGCATGAGAATTCTTATCAGAATCCATAGTTCAAACCGAAAATGAAAAAAATCTCACGTAATGAGAACACTTAACTTAAACATTGTTGACAATTGAATGTATAAATTGTATTTTTAAATATACTTTCCAAGACGCAACCCGTACTATGTCTTGTTGGAAAAAACTATAAAGTTATTAAAGTAGTTGTTAGAAATAAATCTAACCATACTATCAATTGAGGATTACAGCAAAAATTATATATCAAGTCTTACTAACCAAATCAATGAGAACAAAACACAGATTAGTAGATATATTGTAATTTTTATTTTATTTATTATAAGAACAGAGTTGTTGTCGATCACTGAGTTAAATGTTGTTATATAGAACATAGAGTTACGCTACCTGTTGTTTGATATGAGCACTACTTTTACTTTGCGTTTGTTTCAAAGTGTTTGTTAGTGCAACCCTGTTAAAAAAATCAGTGTAAAGCTTTTTTTATGTGTTCGTTGTGTAAAGTTAGAATTGTATGTGTTGTGTTGCAAGCCTGGTACGTGTTTGTTCGTATTGTAAAGCTAGTACAGTGTTCGAATTTTTTAATATTTGCTGTACGCGTGCTATTGTGTACAACAAAGTAAACTTTAAGCTCAGAAATTTAATTTCATATTCGCAGCAATTGGTACCAGCAGTCACGTACCAGGTTCGTGACTTTTTCATAGTAAAATTGTCAAAATATTGTGAACATTTTTTTGCCCAGAATTTCACGCATTTTTACAATAACAAACTACCTTGGTGAAAATCATAGATTGAAAGATACTTTACTTTCTAAATAAATATTATGCGAAAAAAGTTTAATCTGTAGTGTAGTGCGTGAGTGGTTGTTCCAGATAAATTTAAATTTGCAATTTGCATTATAAATGCCGACGGCAATTTTCATTTTGCATTGAATTTTAACAGATTTCGTGAGTTACAAAGCTCTTTTAGCAGATTTCGTGAGACATCAAGCTGGTGGCTTTGCAAATTAAACGATCTGGCAATTTAAGTTGTCAGTTGGGCACTCAACCATTTCAGAGCATTTTTGGCAATTTTTTTATTTATTATAAGCGACTCTGTGCCTTGCCTTTCAACAGGGAATTTAGCGAGGACTTTGTTTAAAAATTATGACGGTCTAATTTTAGGCTAACTTGTGAAATAAAAGAAATTAAGAAATTTTATATGCCTAAAGAATTTTCAAATTCAACTGGTGCGAACTTAATTCAGCTGTTAATCTGAAAAAGACTTTGTAGAATCGATACACATACACATACAATATAATCGCGAATATTGCGCTGTTCATGTGGATAACCTTTTTCAAACATAGAAGTGTGCCTAAAGAATTTTCAAATTCAACTGGTACGAACTTAATTCAGCTGTTAATCTGAAAAAAACTTTGTAGAATCGATACACATACACATGCAATAAATTTAACCAGAGAATAAATTCTTTTCTTTTAAAGCGCACTTGAGATTTGAAACCACTCGGGCGGATAACTTGTAAAATTAAATAAGTTTAGTTGGCGCATTTTCCACAACACTATACATACATCTACAGGAGATGAAAGAAGAGCAAAAGCGACCAAGTCAATTAAAAAGAATCGGAAACAATCAGGAAACCATTAAAAAGAATAACAATTTCTTTTATATACATTTTTATATATATTAATAAAGCTATTTTAACAATTTCTTTTATATGTATATATATTTTTATATATATTAATAAGGCTATTTTAAATATATAATAAAGCTATTATATAAATAAAGCTATTTATATTTAAATATAAATTATATAAATTAATGTATAGCAACAGGAGTTAGACGATGGGTTATAAAAAGTAGTATTTATTTCTTTGAAATAGTACAAGTACGTCTTAAGCCCGAGCGCCGCCCCCTCTTTGGTCTATTCACTCGTTCATTCACAATATGCTTAATTATGTATATATGTATATAAAAAATTTTGCATGAGCTATGCCACCTTTCAAGCTATATTCCTTTCTATGAAAATAAACAAAAGCTCAGAATAGTGCATAGTTTTGATTCTGTTTTTGATTGTCTTTGTTTTACTTTTGTTTCAATATCTGTTGCTCATGCAATAAAATATTTTACAATATGTCTTTGCTGTCTTTGCCAACTAAACTTATTCAATTTTACAAGTATGGGATGATCGCGTTTCCGTTCGAATTTACAGAAATTAAGAATTTAAAGGCGCGTTTACATAGCGAAAAAATAACATAATAAGGAAAAACCTAAAGGATCAGCTAATCAATACTTCGGCAAGAACAATAATTAAAAAACCGCTCAAGATTATATAAAATTCAAATCAGAATTTATTTCTTTATATTTATAAAAATATATTAATAAAAATATATTATATTAATAAAAATATATTATATTAATAAAAATAATGATAACAATGACAGTTATGCATATAAGGGTGAGAATAAGAATAAGGATAAGAATAAGGATAAGGATAAGGATCTTGATGATGATAGCGGCGATTGGGGCGACTCAATTTTTGGCCCAAATCCGTGATGTAACGCTCATTCCCCCAATGGCGGGCGTTTCGCCTTCCACGCCTACGTCGCGTGGGCGGCGATTGTTGTTGTTCTATTTGAAAATAAGAAAGAAATAATGTTATTATTAATTTTAATTAACAAAGAATAAATTCTACTTACTTTTTTTCCATATTCAATGGCGAGGATGGCGTCGGAGCCTTTATGATATCTATTGGATGTAAGAACGTATTATTAATTTTAATTAACAAAGAATAAATTCTACTTACTTTTTTCCTTATCCAATCGCGGTCCGACACAAGTAAAAAAATTAAGGATTTACTTTAGCACTAATTAATTTCAAATCCGACTCTGAGCAGCAGATTTCTTCTTTACTTTCGATGATGAGGATTACGTGACCGTTCTTTGTTCTACTTAAAATTATTTTTATTTTCATATGTACGTATGTATGTCTCTATCAGCCATTATTTATTGCTATCAAGGTTCAGATATTTAGTAAAATTTACGAACAACGGAAGTAAGTTGAGTTTGGCGCCGAAAATGCTTCATTCATTTCAGAACTTGTGGGATACAAAGTACAAACATTTTTGATGAGCTTCTGAATCGACTGAAATATGTCCCTATATCCGTCCTTGCAATTTTTGTTCTAAACATATCCCTGCCCGCAAATATGAAGCTATCTTCGTCTTCAAATTCAAGGAAAGCATTGAAAGTTCTGGCACGCAAATCGATAATAAAAATGATTGAAATGATTGAAGCACACCTGCCTGCTGTATTCTTTGTTTTCCACAAAAAGTAAAAAATTAATAAAAATTATGGCGGTCTACTTTTAGGCTAACTTAACAGAAGACAAAGGTCCAACTCTGTTAAAATGCAAAGCCGTCTATTTCTTTATTTTTTATTAATAAATCTATGTTTTCATATAAAATTTCTTAATTTCTTCAATTTTACAATATTTTTTTTAATAAATCTATGTTTCCATATAAAATTTCTTAATTTCTTCAATTGTTAGTTAAATAACAGAAACACCAAAAGTCCCTAAGATTTTACTGCCTCTTATTTTCAGACACATCTTGGAGTCTCTTTATACTTACTTCTCTCCCACTTAATGTTTACATCCGACACCATTTCTAATACAGGTTAGCTTAACTTTGTGCCGACGGTTGTAACACCCAGAAAGTCTTGAAATAGACTCACTTTTTATTATACCACTCGATTCAAAATCTTTTTCCGAATCAATATGAACTTATCTGTCCGTTTGTCCCTGTGTCCCTGCGATGTAAATCCATGTATTGTTTTGTTCAACCTAGACGTCGTAATTTTCGAGATATTTTGATGAAATTTAATACACTCACAAGGTGCCCGCCCAGTTTCTTAAAGATTGCGCTCTGTATGTTCAACATAAATTTACGCCGACAAAGATCAGACGAACAAACACACAGACAGGCTTAGATTGAATCAAAAAATAATTCTGAATCGGTTAATATAAATAATAAAAGGTGAGTCTATCTTAAACCCTGCTGTGTGTTATTTAGCATTAGGTTTAATTGAATTAGTAGTTGGTTTTCTTCCCTATAATGCTAAGTTTTATATTGCCCACAAAATAGAAAAAAGGACAGTCATGCAGTTTTATACTAGTTATAAATGAAATATGGAAATGCGTATATTTTCTTCAAACGTCCTTTAATTATAATTATTGCAGTTTTACAAATTGTATAAAAAATATGGGAAGTGCTCCTACCCTAATATGCAGCAGTATCAGACAACACCCGTCTACAACATTCTGTCGAGCCAATCAGTTAAATGATTTAGTTGATCTTCTTTGGCTGAACACTCGTAAAATTGTATATTCTGTGGTAGATGAGAAAATTCAAAGTCTTTCCCATTTTTGCCTAAATAAGTAGCTTTATTGGTTTCATTTTCTCCCAATACTTCCAATTTACCACGCGTGCCACGGACCAAATTCCTATCAAATAAATTTATAATAACTCTTCAGAAGCTCATTTAACTTAAATATTATAACTTACATTTCTTTTTCAAGTAACTGTTTGAGTACTTTTACAGATTTAGCGGTAGCCAGATCTTGTTTACTACATAATACTAAAAATGAACAAGGTACTGTTGCGATATCCGATAAAATTGTGTACAAAGCGCTGTAAATCCAAGATAAATATAGCTGCGTTGATGCATGATCATTTAATAAGCTAAGAAGACTAGATGAACTTACTCAGCTACGTCACGTATATCCTTTTGAATGGTCACGGAATCTACCACAAATATAATACCCTTCGCTGTCCGCTTATATTGATCAAAGCATTTATTTCTGACTCTGTAATGGCCGGGTATATCTATAATCCTCCCCGCTAAGCCACCGGATTTATATTCGCCCATGTTTTCTTTTACCGATACGTAGGTGTCAGGAAATTTTTTATGTAATAAACGCATAAAAATAGCGCTCTTGCCAGATTCACTTAAGCCCGTTAGGAGAAAATCACGCCTAGCTGATGAACGTTTACGTAGAATAACAAAAAGCGCTATAACAATAAAACGAAAGCAGTTTATGGCAACACAAATGCAAGGATTTAATAAACATACCAATAAAAATCAAACCAATTATGGCAGCCACAATTACTGGCACCATATTAATGTTGCTTATCGTCCAAAGTACTTCTGGCTCTTCCTCGGTATTCATTATTAATTGCCACTGAGCTTAAAACCACGTTTAATATCAATTTGAGTAAATTGAAAAACATGAAACTCTCGCCTGGCTATCCCTATGCTCTTCTTTTAGTCGTAAGCGCTATTATTTTTGTCGTAAGCTCTGTTATTTTTGTCGTAAGCGCTATTATTTTTGGCTATGTCGAGTTTGCAACGCGTGGCTGCCATTATGTGAAATATTCTTATATATCCATATATGTAGGTATTACTCGTTTCTGGCAATGCTACTTTAAAGCAAACTCTTGGGACGTGTACAATTTGTTACTTTCTCAATATTAGAAAAACAATTCGAAATTTTTCAACGCAGTTGCGGTCTGATGTGAAAATTTCATAAATTAATTATTATGTTCGATAATCGATATGCAAATTGGATTGGAACTGCCTTCGCTATCGGAAATTTAATCTTTCTCTATACTTCCAAAATTGATTTAAGAGCTGTTTCATTCCATTTATTCCACTGTTGTTTGGCGTTTGGCTAACGTTTCGCTTCTTTCATTGAAAAATCAAATTCGTTAAATATTATACAAATATTTATGAATATAACTTCGTTTTCGTTAAGAATCTTGTATTGCTTTCAAGCATTCGGCAAATCGGAAAATGATAAAAAATGATACAAGCAAACGTAAGGAAGACGAAAGATAAGAGAAAATTCTTGCTTTCTACCTTCATCTGGTTGGCAATTCAAAAATCTATGTTTCTGATCACGTTAAATGCTTGGGACTGAATAAAAAGTAATTCTTTATTTTTAGTCTATGAATTTATTTCACTAATAATTATTATAATAATAATATGTTATTATTATAATAATAATAATAGTAATAAAAGCAAATATAGTGCTTGCCATTTCTATCGCTTATATCGTATACCCCTTCAAATTACAGCTGATTATTATTATGAATTGTTTACATAAATAAATGGAAAATAAACCTACTTGCGACAAAATAAATCTACATGCGACAAAATAAACCTATATGCGACAAAATAAAGAGTATGGGATAACTGTGCACCAATCCACAATGAAAATTTGCAAATAAGCCGAATATAAATTATTGAAAATGATGCTAAAATATCTAAGATCTTTCATATTAAAGAGTTGCACAAAATAGCAATTGTTCACTCATTACAAACAAGAAATACCAAATTACAAAAAGAAAATCCATATTATTATTATTATCATTATAATTTTAGACTAATGAAATAAATTCTTAGACTAAAAATAAGACATTGAGCACTGGCAACACAGGCTATCGGCTCTAATTAAAAAAAAAAAGAATAATAAAATGTACATTAGATAATGAGCTTAGTAGTATTAATAAAGTAATGTATAGAATTGATATTCTGTTCTGAAGCTGATTGTAGAATGTTCAAAGGGTTAATTGTTCCAAATGCAATACTTCTAGCCAAGGAAAAGTTGAGGCAGTCGCAGAGAATTTGCTTTATAGTAAGAGTTTGTCCACAACAGCAGATTAGGGAGGAAGACTTCTTCAAGATCCATTGGTGAGTTGTAATTGTATGACCAAGACGAATTCTCGAAAATGTTTGGATCTTCATTTTCTCAACATTAGTTGGATATAAAGTTGGAGTTAATTGAGGGTTAATGGAAGAGTAGTGTTGATGATGGTATTGTAAATTTTCTTCTGCAATTTTCTC